CCTCCCTCCCTCCCTCGCACTCTCGTTCCCTCCTTCCCTCCCTCCCTTCCTTCCTTCCTTCCTTCCTTCCTTCCTTCCTTCCTTCCTCCTTTCTCTGTGCTGGTACTAGGTGTTAAATTCAATTTTCTTTCCTGTGCTGGTATTAGATGTTTAATTCAAGGCCTGAGCACTGTCCCTGAGCTTCTTTGCTCAAAGTTAGCACTCTTACCACTTGAGCCACAGCTCTACTTCCAACTTTTTGGTGGTTAATTGAAGATAAGAGTCTCACGGACTTTCCTGCCTGGGCTGGCTTTGAACTGTGATCTTCAGATCTTAGCCTCCTGAGATTTAACTAAAATTGTAGGTGTGAGCCACTGGTGCCCAGCTTCCCTGTTATACCTTATTCCTTTTCAAGGCAACTCTCTCATTGTATGAGTGACACAGGATGAAGGAGAGCCATCCGAAGACTTGATTTCTTAGTGAAGCGAAGCCATCCCAGCATGCTCTCTGGCAGTGCAGCGTACGGCAGTCTACTGAACACAGTTCATCTCAGTGCTTCCTGTGTTGCATAAATTCAGGTCATGGAGTCCTTTGTTTTGAGCAAGATGGGCCGCATGAGAAAGTATCTCACAGGGGAATCCAATGGCTCCGAGCTTGATGGCAGCACAGCAGAGCTCAGGGAGGACCTGGACCAAGCCAAGACCCAGATTGGAATGACTGAGTCCCTCTTGAAAGCACTATCGCCCACCGACAGCCTGGAGATCTTCACGAAACTCGAGGTACTGCCCAACTGCATGGCTTCGGTGACCCATGTTAATCTCCCACTTATTTTTATAGTCTTGGCTTTTTGCAGTCAATGAAAACAGAAAAATGAAAAGTCCTAGTGAGAGCAGAGATCTCAGAAACCCGTTTGCTTATTTAACCTTTTCACCCTTGAACTGCCTCATGTGATAATAACTTTTAGATATTCACTTGCATTGTATTATACATGGGCTAGCGAAGGGAAAGTGAGTGAATTCAATTGAGCACCTTTGAGATGCTTCCAAAAATCATGAAGAGCTGCCTGGTGTCGTTTGGAGGGGACTGTTTTAAGATGTGGTGGCGGTTGCTTGTGTGTTCTTGTGTAGGAGATACAGCAGCAGATTCTCCAGCAGAAGCACAGCATGACCGTCCTGGAGAATCACATAGGTTGTCGCACCCCGGAACTCTCTGACTTGAAAAGGCAATATGAAAGTGTCAGCGATTTGTTCAGTGCCAAGAAACGTGTTTTGCAAGATCACTTCTGTGCATTATTGAACGGTGAGTGTGAGGTTTCTCTTGAACGATGACCAGTAAAGTGCTGTGTGCCTATAATAACCTAAGCCTGGCTTATAGGTAGTTTGCATAGACAGCATTGATTGATTGATGGAGGTACTGGGCTTGGAACTCAGGGTCTGTCTCTTAATGGACAGATGCTCTTTCACTTGAGCCATGTTCCTGTCTCTTTTCCTTTAGTTTGTTTGTTTATGTTTAATTTTTTGTTTTGGTGCTAGTCTTATAGCTTGATCTCTGGGCCTGGGTATTGTCCCTGAGCTTCTTTTGCTCAAGGCTGGCACCCCACCAACTGAGCCACAGCTCCACCTTCTGGCTTCTTTGGTAGTTTAATGGGGATATAAGAGTCTCAGACTTTCCTGCTCAGGCTAGCTTCAAACTGAGATTCTCAGATGTCAGACTCCTGAATAGCTAGGGTTGCGTGTGAGCCACCAGTGCCCAGCTCACTTTCCCCCCCCCCTTTTTTTTATTTGTGTCTGTCATGGGGCTTAAACTCAGGACCTGGTGTCTGTCCCTGAGCTCTTTTGCTCAAGGCTAACGCTCTACCACTTTGAGTTATAATGCCATTTACGATTTTCTGGTGGTTAACTGGAAATAAAAGTCTCACGGAGGTTTCTACCTGGGATGAGTTTGAACTGAGATCCTCAGGTATCAGCCTCCTGAGTGGCTAGAATTACAGGTGTGGGCCACCTGCACCCTGCCTTTCACTTTCATTTTTTTTAGACAAGGTCTCTTGCTTTCTGCCAAGGGTTACCCTTGGGCCATGATCTTCCTTTTCCACCTCTCACCTAATTGGGATAATAGGTGTGTACCTCCATGCCTGACATCACAAACAGTATTTGAAAGAATAATAGTTAGACAAATCCATTGGGGAAACCTATTTAGTAATGGATGGTATAAGTAACATCGGAAAGCACTGTTTTCATGGGTAAGTCACCGATACCAAGTGCCACCGACTGCCTGTGGCTGTTGAGTCTATGAGCTCATGCCCTAGCAACTATTTTGGGATATCCTGGGTACTTAAAGAGAAAATTTGGTAGCTCATGCCTGTAATTCTAGCTATTCAGGACACTGAAATCTGAGGATCCCTGTTCAAAGCCAACCTGGGCAGAAAGCCAAGTGATAGGGGCTCATGCCTATAATCCTAGCTACTCAGGAAGCTGAGATCTGAGGATCATGGTTTGGTGCCAGCTCAGGCAGAAAAGTCCATGAGACTCTTATCTCCAACAAACTACGCAGAGAAAGCCAGAAGAGGTGCTATGGCTCAAATGGTGGAGTTCTAGTCTTGAGCAAAAGAAGCTCAGAGACAGTGCCTAGACCCTGAGTTTAAGCCCCAGGACACGTGTGTGTGTGTGTGTGTGTGTGTGTGTGTGTGTGTGTGTGTGTGTGTGTGTGTGTGTGTGTGCACATAAATGTGTGCATGCATGCTCAGAAAACCGGAAGTGATACTGTGGATCAAGTGGTAGAGTGCTAGCCTCGAACTGAAGAGCTGAGGGATGGTGACCAGGCCCAGTTCAAGCCCCATCACACACACACACACACACACACAGAGTCCATGATACTCTTATCTCTAAATAACCATCAAAAAGCCTGAAGTAAAACTGTGGCCCAAGTGGTAGAATACCAGCTTTGAGTGGAAAGTGAAAATCCAAGGCCCTGAGTTCAAGCCCCAATGCCAACATCAAAGAAAATATACCAAATTATGCTGTATTCGCTCTCAAAATTAGGTGTCAGTATTTATTAGCACTTTACACAGTAGTATAGAAAACGGATTCTACAAGCTCTCACATAACAGGGATCATGATGTGCAAATGAAATGAATAGACCTATTTTTTTTCTTCTCCAGATCAATGTAAGAACTTTAATGACTGGTTCAGCAGCATTAAAATGAGCCTTAAGGACTGTTTTGAGCCCTCAGCAACCAAAACGAGTGTGGAGCAAAAGCTACAAAAACTTTCTGTAAGATACCTATATCAAAACTGATCAAACTAAAATATTAGCAACATAGGACTGTATTTACATTTATAGGGAAGTACTTACTTTGACATGGTAACTTTTTTTATGTAAGAGGTAATACTTCTAAATAACCTGGATATTTTCCAGATATACTGAAACTGCTTAATGGGTAAGTACTACAGTGGCTTTAACAATTCTATTTTCATATTCTAAGATTCTGTTTATGTTAAGACACTATTTTAGTGAAATGCACTTATTATTATTGTTGTTGTTGTTACTATTATTTTTGCAGTGCTGGTTTGAACTCGGGCCTTGAACTTGCTAAGGTCTCCCTTCATGTCCAGGCTAGCTTAGAGTTTGAGTCTCCTATGCTTGCTTTCCCACATCGCTGAGATGGTAAATGCATGCCACTGTGCCCACCTATGAGTTGAGCTAGAGCCTTATGATCAGGACCCATCTTTCTCCTCCAATCTCTATCTCCCAAGTAGGCAGGATTATAGGTTTGAGCACCATACTAAAAATTGGCTAAAAATTGCAACTGAAGTTTTATTTTCTTTTCCGAGTATTGGGGCTTGAATTCAGGGCCTTGAGCTTTGGTCAGATCTTTTGCTCATAGCTAGTGCAATACCACTTGAGCCATATCTCCAACTTTTGGCTTTTGGCTGGTTACCTAGAGATAAGAGGCTCATGGATTTGTCTGCCCTGGTTAGTTTCAATCCTCAATTCTTAGGTCTTAGCCTCCCAAGTATTTGGGATTATAGGCATCAATCACCAGCAGCTAGCTGCAATTGAATGTTAACACACTGCTGGTCAGACTACAACATGAACTAAAAGGCTGAGTGTGGGGGGAAACATGTTGCGTGCTTGATCACTTTAGGGTAGACAGTCTAGTAAAGTGTTTGCTTGCTTGCTTGTTCTTTGGGAACCAGGCTAGCCTTGAACTCCTGGGGCTAAAGCTGTCTTCATGCCTTCCTTCCCCACCCCAGTAACTGGCGATAGGGGCCCAGTTCTGTTTTGATGCTGTCATGTTCTCAAGCTTGTTGATGGCAACTAAATGTTCTCTTTGCTATAATTAATTGGTATTAACTAATTAGTTAACCAATTAAGTGGTATTAATCTTTATTGCAAGACTTACCTTTGCCCCTCTTTTTGCCTTTACTTTTTTCTTTTTTTTTTCTGATCCTGGGCTTGAACTTGGGGCTTGGATGCTGTCCCTGAGCCTCTTTGTACTCTAGGCTAGCACTCTACCACTTGAGCCACAGAGCCACTTCTGGCTTTTTGTGAGTAGTTTATATTGGAGATAAGAGTCTCATGGACTTTTCTGCTCAGGTTGGCTTTGAACTTGGGCCTTAGCTAGGATTAGAGGCGTGAGCCACTAGTGCCCAGCTCTTGTATCTCATTTTGTCCATATCATAGGCCTCAGCAACTGATGCATTGAAACACTAAAATTGCAAGGAAAATTCTGCTTGGGCCAAGTTCAAGGGAGAGTAGTCTGTTTAGTTTTGCATATTGATTGCCAGAAAGTAAAGAAGTATTTAGGAGAAGTGGAACAGAGCCAGAATAAGAGTGTGTGGCTTCCTTGGTCTTGGTCCAAGTTCCATGCTCCTGTATTTCTTGTACTTCTATGATTCCAAGAAAACCAGATGCAAATGCATTTTGACATCCACGATTCAGAACAGCTACAGACCTATCTGCCACTGGCGCTAAGCCATGTCTTCATGTCCTGTCAGGGACAAGATGTTGAGATGGAGTGTCGGTTTGTGTGCTGGTTTAGAATAGTGTCACAGAGGTGACACAGAGCTCATCAGACCATTTTAACCTTCTGTTTTCTTCCTTCAGGATTTCTTGGCTCTTGAGGGGCGGAGTGATAAAATGCAGCAGGTAGATACCGTATTGGAGCACGTACAGAAACATCTTCCCAAAGCACATGTTAAGGAGCTTCACAGTTGGCTCCTGACTCAGGAACTAGAATTAGAGAAAATGGAGTCTATCTGCCAGGCCTGTGCAAAGGAACTTGGTCACCACCTGCAGCAGCTGCTGAGGTAGGAAAGAAAGGTGATCTCAAACACCACTTTCTAGCAATATTTTCCTAGTGATTTCTCATGAACTCTTTGTCAGTACCATGTATGCTAGGAAATACAGTACATTTACATTTCACAAGTAAAATAGATATAGTTGGTCTCAGGGAGAAATCCTCTACACCGAAACATGAGATGTTCTACTCTCTTATATAAAATGGGAAGTGGCCAGGCACCAGTGGCTCACACCTGTAATCCTAACTATGAAGAAGGCTAAGATTTGAGGATCATGGTTCAAAGACAGCCTAGGCAGGAAAGTCCACGAGACACTTATCTCCAGTTAAGCACCCCAAAAAAGTGAGAAGTAGAGCTGTAACTCAAGTGACAGAACATTAGTCTTAGGCAAAAAAGCTCAGAAACAGTGCCCAGGCCCTGACTTCAAGCCCTAGGTAAAAATGCTTAGAGACAGTGCCCAGGCCCTAAGTTCAAACCCTGGTAAAAATGCTTAGAGACAGTGCCCAGGCCCTAAGTTCAAACTCTAAGCCTAGTGCGCGCGCGCACACACACACACACACACACACACACACACACACACTTACAGACACAAGAATTGTTTTCATATGACCTATGTACCAATGACATACCTAATGTGATGCAAATGCTATGGGAAAATTTGTCTTTATTCTTTAAGGAATGAGGACAAGAAAGGAGGAAAATCGATATTTTACAGTAACAGACACATTTTGTCCCAAATAATTTAGATTTGTGATTGGTAGAATCTATGGATATAGAAACATAGATACAGAGGCCTGACGACACTTTGTTTTTTAATTTTTCATGTTTTTGCAATGCTGGGTGTCAAACTCGGAGCTCTGTCTCTAGCCCTTTCTCTGGGCTAGAGATTAAATTGATGCTAGGATTACAAAAAGTTTGAGAGATTCTTCAAATGATCTAAAATGGCAAAGGCTTGGGATTATCCAAGAAATGTTTTCTATTTGTTGTCTCATCTTTACAATACCTTTACATGACTCATTGCTTTAGTGACTTCCACTCTAGTACAGTAAATTACTGTTCAGATTTTGATATGTGGCAAGTTATATCTTTTCTAGGAAAATAAACACAGGAAGTAAATACCTGGTCAAGTCACAAGGTACATGTCATCCTTCTCTTGGATATGAATCTATTTTTGCTCATTTTGTAGTCTGATCTGTGAATTGTTCTTTTAGATTGCAGGATGATTATAGAAACCTAAGTAAGTGGTTGACTAATCAAGAAGAGAAATGGAAAGAAATGGGTGAATCGGGAGAGAAAGCTGAGCTATTTTGGGAAGCATTAGCTCAAATGAGGTATCGTGATCTTGGGCAAGGTGTATTACTTGGAGTATAATTCCTTCCATCCTGTAGTAGCAACTCCTACAAATTTTCAATGGTATTTGGAAATTACAGGGAACAGTTTGAATCTGTGGTCCAGCTGAACAGCTCTTTGAAGGAACATGGCTTTTCGGAGGAAGAAGAAATAATAGCAGAATCAACACATTTGATTGACCGATACCAGACATTATTGAGACAATTACCTGGAAGTGAAGAAGAGGCTAAGCTACCACCTGCTGAGGACCAGAGCCTCCCTGATCTCACACATGATGTGATTCTGTGGATAAAAGAGATTAAAGAGTCCCTTATGGCTTTGAATTCATCTGAAGGAAAAATGCCACTTGAAGAAAGAATCCAAAAAATAAAGGTAAAACTGTGGAAAGTAGATTTGACAGGTCAGAGTGAACTCTCACTTTGAAAAGATTTAGAAGAAAAGTGGCCAAGATTTGTTTCTTAATGGAAAGTAGGATTACTGTGGACCAGTTGAAGCAATTCAAATCACTGAACTTACAGAAGACAAGGGTTGGGATGGATATAAAATTATTTTAATGCATACTCAAGAAAGTATAACCTCTTTTTGAGGGTAGGACCCAGTCATTGTCATCTTCAGTATGTGCCAATAAATGAAATAAAAGCCATGGATGAGAACCTGAGTTACTGAGGATACAGGATGAATCCATGTCAGGAGAGCAAATTCAGGGGACAGCAGCACAAGTGCTTATTGAAATCACTTTAGTTGAAGCATATTATGGAGAAAAAAATGATCGATACTAATGAGCTAGTAGCTGAGATATGAGGATTTCAGTTCAAAGCCAGCCTGGGCAGGGAAGACTCTTAACTCCAGTAAACCAGCAAAATGTCACAAACAGAGCTGGAGTTCAGTTGGTAGAGTGTCAGCCTTGAGTAAAGCTAAGGGGCAGCACTCAGGCCCTAAGTCGTATGCCCCAGTACTGGCACCAAAAAAATTAAAAAACAAAAAAAAAGCTGGTTGAGGAAAATCATTTGAGATTGTGTCTGTGAGTGTGCCTACCTGGCTCATGGGAATCTTGAGTAGTTTTTCTGAATGGAACTGCATTTTGTTAGAGCAGAGAATGGATAACTGTCATGGTGGAGAGATGAGTTGACATGAGGCATGTTTTTCCTCTGCAAAGTTATGGCTCTTAACAGAAATGTCCTGCTAGGCTGTTCCCGATCCTTCCCTCCACCAGTGAATGGTAGAAGTGAATGGCAAGGAGGATTTGTGGGACCTGTGAAATCAAAGAAAGCAGTTGAAAATCAAGGGCTGAACATTTACTGAGCACCAACTCTGCAATTTATCTGTCTCTGGGGCATCTATGAAAATGAAACTCTGCAGTTAGACTCTCAGTGGAAAGTTTACAAATAAAATGCCATCATCTGAGCTAGGTGTTTGGTGGCTCACACCTATAATCCTAGATACTCTTAGGAATCTGAGAATCTCAGTTCAGTACCAGCCAGGGCAGAGAAATCCCTGAGAGCCTTACTTCCAATTAATCACCAAAAAGCTGGAAGTTGGAGGCGTGATATAAGTGGTAGAGCACCAGCTATTATAAGAAGCTAAGGAGGAAGGCAGGCACTGGTGGCTCATACCTGTAATCCTAGCTGCTCAGGAGGCTGAGATTTGAGAATCACAGTTCAAAGCCAGCCCAGGCAGGAAGGTCCATGAGATTCTTATTTCCAATTAACCATCAGAAAACCAGAAATGGTGTTGTGGCTCAAGTGGTAGAGCACTCACCTTGAGCTGAAGAACTCAAGGACAGTGCCCAGACCCAGAGTTCAAGCCCCACAACTAACAACCCTCTCCCCCCAGATCCCCAAAAAGCTAAAGAGGAGTGCGAGACCCTCAGTTCAAGCATTGGTACCAGCAACACACACAGTCATCGGTAATATCCTTAAGTAAAGCAAATGACATTTTTTTCTTTGTTTCAGGAAATCATTTTACTGAAACCTGAAGGAGACGCCAAAATCCAAACTGTTATGAGACAAGCTGAGGGCAGCGAGGCCTCGGAGGTTCAGGAGACCCTGACTGATATCCACAGCCAATGGGACAGCACCCTCCACTTAGCCAACACGTACCTAAGGTAGAGGACAAGTTCGCCTTCACCCTGCATCGCTTTCCATGGCCCAGTGGAACCACAACAAGTTTGTTTTGTCTGTCTGCGGCCTGGGTTGGGGAATAATCTCTGCTGGAGGGAAAGTTGGTATCTCAGATAAGAAAAGGCATCCCAGTGTTGATTCCTGAGCAATGGGAACTGAACGTAGTTCATGCACCAACCTGGGAATCTTAGCAGCAAATTCTCACTTACCCCTGCTTCCCTTCCATACCCCCTCCCTCCAGTCAGCCTCATCCTTCACATGAAACAGTGTAGAACTATCTCTCAAGATTTGCTTACAGAAATTCCAAAAAGGGTAAACATTGATAAACATTAGCTGAACCTTCTAGATAGATCTCTGGCAGAAACTTATTTTGTATCAGGTCTTAAATGTATATTTCAGGTTGGAAATAAATGTTGACTGAGCTTTTTCTAAGGTGATAGATCAAAATTTAAGTTACAGAAAGCATAGAGTTGCTAAATATGCTTAATGCTTATTTTACTCTTATGTAAATATATCATAAAGGATATTGTCATGATATTTAAATATAACAAAAAAAGTCAGGATTTTGATACCTAAGGTATTAAAAATTCTCTGGGCAAACTGTGTAAAATAATTTCTAGATTTCTGAGCTAAATGTAGTGCTATTTAGAATGTTATAATGTACCCAGGCATTGGTTCATGCCTGTCATCCTAGTTACTCAAGAGACAGGTCTGAGAATTGTGGTTCAAAGCCAACCTGGGCAGATGACACCATGAGTCTCTTGTCTCCTGTTAACAAGCAAAAAGCTGGCTCAAATGGTAGAGCCCCAGCTTTGAGTGGAAAAAGCCAAGTGAGAGCTGGTGGCTCTGAGTTCAAGTCCCAATACTGGCAATCATATTTTTTTTAAGTTACAATGTATATTTGTGGGTTTTTTATTTGTTTGTTTTTGTGGTTGTGGCACTTGAACTTAGGGTCTGGGCACTGTCCCTGAACTCTTTTGTTCAGAGCTACCCCTCTACCTCTTTGAGCCACAATGCCACTACCAGTTTTTGAGTGGTTCACTGGAGATAAGAGTCTCACAGAGACTTTTCTGCCCCGGCTGGTCTCAGATCTCAGTCTCCTGAGTAGCTAGAATTACAAGTGTGAGCCACCAGTTCCTGGCTATCTGTGTTATTTTAATGCTATTTATTTTTAATATATCTTGAATTATAGCATGCAAAATGCCTTCCCATTCTGCTAACCATCATTTCATTTATGAAACATTTGGTGAAATTTAGCCACCAAGAAAAACTTCTGCTAGAAGGAGAGAAATACCTCCAAAGTAAAGAGGACCTCAGACTGATGCTCACAGAATTAAAGAAGAAGCAAGAAGCAGGTTTCGCTCTGCAACCTGGTTTGCAGGAGAAGCAAGCCCAGCTAAAAATCTATAAGAAATTCCTCCAAAAGGCACAAGATTTGACGTCCTTGCTAAAGGAGTTAAAATCTCAAGGAAATTACCTCTTGGAGTGCACCAAAAATCCCAGCTTCAGCGAAGAGCCCTGGCTGGAAATAAAACATCTACATGAAAGTCTCCTTCAGCAGTTGCAGGTGACTTGGACAGAGGTTTAAATGATTGCAGTGATTTCTATGTAAGATTTGTAACATAGAGCCTTACAGATGGCTTTGGTTGTCATTCTTCGAGTACACCCAAAGCTTTCAAAATTTATTATTTTTATGTGGAAATACTAACTCTCAAAATTGACAGAATCAATCCAGTCAGTTTTGCTTAGGAAATCCTTTGCTTGTTAAAAGATGATGATGTTATTTCCTGTCATTGAAATTCTCTTCTTTGAGAGTTCAATAGATTAAAAATTATTTGAGGTGCTGGGAAGGTGGCTCAGTGGTAGAGCACTTGCCTTATATGCATGAGGCCCTGGGTTCGATTCCTCAGCACCACATAAGCAAAAAAAAGGCGGAATTGGCGCTGTGGCTCAAGTGGTAGAGCGCTAGCCTTGAGCTGAAGAGCTGAAGGACAGTGCCCAGGCCCAGAGTTCAGGCCCCACAACCGGACCCCCCCCAAAAAAAGTAAAAATTATTTGAATTTAATACATTTATTTTTTGTATTTTGTTTAGTTGTAGAGAGGAGTTTTAGTTGAACATGTCAATTAATGTTAACCCTTTAGGTTCATGTTCTTTGGACATGGCTGTGGAGTTGACAATGTGGATATTCATCATCCACCCATCTATCCATTGCAATAGTTTAATATGAATTATATTTATGAAACTTCTTGTTTGTGCCCTTCCTGGGACATTTCCACATGATCTGCAGTGAAAGAATTGAGGCAAAATGTCAGCTTGTCATGAGGGAATATATTCTCTAAATAAGACTGTTTATAATCCTCTACTGAAAGCCAGGTTCAATGCAAGCATTACTAAGATAAGAAATGCTACTTCTCCAGATACCAGCAGCTGGGCAGGGTTTAAGATGTACCTGCTTGATGCCAGGCACTAGTGGCTTACACCTGTAATCCTAGCTACTCAGGAAGCTGAGATCTGAGGATCATGGTTCAAAACCAGCAGGGCAGGAAAGTCTGTTAACCACCGGAAAATGAAATGGATCTGTGGCTTAAAAGTGGTAGAAAGCTAGCTTTGAGCAGGACAGATCCCAGGCCCTGAGTTCAACCCCCACAACCAACCCCCTCCCCCCACCAAAAAAATATATGTGCTTGACTGAATATTTTTTAGCTAATAGCTGTTGCTTTTCTGATCAGGTATAGCCATCTGATAACCATAGGTCCCCCAGGGAGGGAACTAGAGGATGATTTTACTTTTGAGCTAGGAAGATTTGAGTTTGACTCTTGGGAAAAGGAATCTGGAATCATATAATAAATTCTCACTTATTTTCCAAGTGTGAATTTTTGGCTTCAAAGTCATAGATAATTGAGGGGGTCTCATTTATTATGGACGTTTGTAATTTAATTTAATGATAGGCTTTGTAGTGTAGCATCTTGTAAGCTCTTAACTAATTGCTTTTGGGAAGGAAGCAAAGGCAAGAAAACATGGAAGGACAAATGTCTTCATTCAGAGTCATTTGGGAGAAGGAGAGATGGAGAGTTTTACATTGTACTATCTCAAACACCAGGAGCTTTGGATAAGATTGGACATAGCCCTGTTTTGAGATGAAACTCTTAATAAAATAAACAAGTATTTATGAATGGTATAATTACCTTCTGAGAGAGGAAATAATTACCTTCTGAGAGAAATACTTGGTAAGGTGCCATGGTTTTACTTTTAGGATTCTGTGCAAAAATTGGAGAGTCATGTGGAAGAGCATCACTCATACCATCTTGCAGTCGCAGACCTGAACACCACGTTGGACCATTTCTCCGAGGAACTTGAACATCTTTCCCAGGTGCCTGAAGATCAAACAGCAGTGGAGGACAAACTGCAGAGGCTGCAGGTATTAAATAAGTCCAGACCGAGTAGACATTCTTGAAAAGAACCAATATTCATTACCAATTAACTATCAGTGTCTTCAGTATGAAATCCAAGTACTAGTCAGATGACTCATAGATAAAGATTTGAGCTGACATAATAAAATGGGAATATGCTTCCTTTCCTTTTTCCTTTCATTTCCTTTTTCCTTTCCTTTCCTTCCCCTTCCTCTTCTCCTTCCCCTTCCCCCTTCCCCTTCCTCTTCCCCTTCCCCCTTCCCCCTTTCCCTGTGCTGGTTTTGGGGTTTGAACTCTAAACCTGGGTGCTTTCCCTGTGCTTATCTATTAAAGGCTATGGCTTTAATAGCAGAATGCCAGTCTTGAGTAAAAAGACTCAGGGACAGCACCCAGGCTCTGAGTTCAAGCCCCAGGCCTGGCACCAAAAAAAAAAAAAAAGAAAAAAAGAAAGAAAAAAAAAAGAAAAAATGGAGACTTCTGGGAGTGGGCAGAGCACTTGTGGCTCTGCATTGCTGTAAGGGCCTGAGGATTTATCTTTTCCACTTTGGAGGTGGGCCCCAAATTAAAGCCCCAGAACTGGAACCACCCCAAAAAATAAGGCTGGAGGCATTGCTCAAGTGGTAAAGCATCAGTCTAGCAAATGAAGGCCTGAGTTCAAACAAATATCTGTGAACATTTTTTTTCATGACTTGTTGCAGTTTTCTTAATACATGTCAAAGATTTGTTTGAGAATTTAATGTGGCATACTAGATTGTTTTAAATTGTACTCCAGAGTTTCTTCTTTGTGGCATGTGTTGGTTGGGGTGTGTGTGTGTGTGTGTGTGTGTTGGTTGGGGGGCGGGTGTGTGTGTGTGTGTGT